GAGACCTTGACCTGACAGCCTCGATCTGGTATCTGTGTCTCGCTATGATACCGGACACGATATGGACATCATGATAATTCTACGTAATATTGGTGCATAACCCCATCTGTCGGGCTCCTAATTGTTATAAAGAAGATATTCATGAATAAATCTTTTCCTTACTTTCCGAAGGATACAAGATTGAAACTGGTTACGAAAACGTAACGTCAAACCAAAGAGAACATCATGCCAAACAAATGTTGAAAGAAACCATCTCTTCAGTATGACCAACTCATATTCAATTATGTCTTTAGTCGGTCTTATAATAAAGGCGTTTCCAAGCAATATTAATTTACGCCTGAAAGAGTCTAAAATACATGTAGATATGTGGGGAATAGTGTAGCTATTTCTCCATCATGCAACTTACTAGAAGTTCCCCGACACAACGTAGTTTTCATTTGCACACAGACTAAAACGAGATTCGTTCGAAAAGCCTTCGATGTGACCATTCTCGATTGAGCATACAGGAAATTTAGCATGTGTTTCTAGGGAATCCTCGGGACGACCCCACTAACGATTTATATCTTACTTAATGATAAGTCAATAAGTTTTCCCTTTGGAAGGCTAATCATCTATACGCTTGTACATGTATTGCAAAATAAGGTACGTAATTTTATTATGAGTTTATCCAATAACGACATCGCCTACCGGCATGTATACGTTGTCTCCGTTTTTAACATCCATAACTCTTCAATCCACAACTACTTCCATGTACCATGCTTGTTTTCTACTTAGAGTTTACACAGGTCTCCACTGTGTGTATATTTTCATTACCATGCTCTCTGAGGTTATTTTACCCCAGTCCACAGGTACGGCGTAACTACCACGTGTCCTGCACCGCAATTAATATGGCCTATTCAAATATATTGTGCATCTGCGTGACAGTAGTATATACTATATATATATATATATATATATATATATATATATATATAAGTCGTAGGAAATAATTAGCATTATGCTTTATCAACTAACAAATTAATCTATCAAACAATACTACCCTCAGTGCCTTGGGTAATTGACCCACAATGCATTTCGGGTAGCACTTCTTTTATTCGCCATATTGAAAAAGTTCCCACGCATGAATTACCTTGTTTACCCACCACCTCCCTTCGAACAATCAGCAGCATGTCATCCTTTAATCACTTTCTTACCACAGTTTGCCTAAATATTTGCCTTCCACTTCCTATCTTTGGGGACTGATTGCTGATTTTGGCCTCAAGCCATTCACTGTTTTGCCCCCCGGCGTGTTACTACATAGCCCCAAGGTCAGCGGCAATCAGTCCTCCTAATTGCCCAATCCTGTATATACTTAAATAAAAATATATTTTTTCATATATTCTTTGTTGTGTCATTGTTTGCATCAACAATGTTTAGGTTTTATAAAATACTGACTGCTGTCACATCATACAAAACTCACAAAAAAACATCAGTATCGAGATTTAGTACATGTAATGATAACAATGCACTCGAGATCATTCTGTAAAAAACAACACACACGTATGTACCCAAATGTATAAATTTACAGTGACAAGTTCACTTTACAAAGAAATCATCTTTTAACGTCTTTTAGTGTGACGCGGCCGGGGATCGAACCAGACAACCTTCCGCACTCCGAACACACGCTCAACCACTAGACAACGGAGGGGGTAACTTTACAAGGAAGCACATAAACAACTGATATTGACATTTGAACTTTATAATTTACACAACATCGCAAATGGCAAATACCATCTCACATAAAGTTAGCCATTACCCATGAGTATGATGTTCGTGTCATGTGTGCAAATAATCTGTATTCATGAACTTTTCAAATCAGTGACCTCAGTACACTGGTATAGGTTAGCTGTCAAATTTGAGGGCACGGATGGCCCTGTCGTCTATATCGCAGTTTTGCTTCCTAGATAGGCGTTTCAGAATCCTATGATCGTGAGTCGATTCGATTCCTTATTTTCAGCAACAAACTCACGATCGAGTGTTCCATTTAAATGGAAAACGTCTAAAACCTGCTTCCCTTCTGCCTATTGTAGATGCTGTCGTTGTGTCAAAACTTGAACGCATCTCGTGGTGCTGTCAGTAGAGTCCAGATTGCCGTATACACTTAAATATTAATATAACCTGTCCGGTTGTACAAGGGACTCTCCAGGCTGTTATATATGAGCTCCAGTATATTTATTACGAGTAGATACGATGATTATCCTCAAAGGCATTTAGAGGTTGGATGTGACCAACTGATTTTGACGCGGTTCCAACTTCAGCGGTAACAAGATAATGTAATAATAAACTTTCAACTAGATTCAGAAATCCATTGAGGTACGAAGTCTTTGCAGCGCGTTGTGTATTGTACGTACATCGTTAATATACCTGTAGGTACGGCAATAGCTTAAAGCAAGCACACTCGAAATCATTGTACAGTGATATACTGTATAGACGAATATGAGCGACACTATCGAAACACACCCGTGGCACGAAGTGGTATAGGGGAGATAACTCTGTTGGGTAACTCTTCACGGTCGAGGTGCGTCACATGTATGGAACTTCACGTGCGATCTAACGCATGTGCTCGCCGGGGCCAGCCATCTTAGACGATATGCACGACTGTAACATTCCTGAATAAATATTGGAACCTACTCAAGACTTGTCATATGACGTATACAACAGTGGCGACGATCGTTCAGGAAGAGAGGTTACACGGGTGATTATCAAAGTTATTTTGTGTGATTGAACGGCATAGTCACGAAAATACAACTAGATTGAGAAATCTATTGAGGTACGAAGTCTTTGCAATGCGTTGTGGATTGTACGTACATCGATAATATACATGTAGGTACGGCAATTAAGCACACTCGAAATCATTGTACAGTAATATACTGTATTGACGAATCTGAGCGATACTATCGAAACACTCCCGCCAGGACCCTCACAATTTGTTGACATTATGGTATTGACACAGCGTTGATATATATTATACTTGAAAGAGGTTATACTTGTCACAATTGGCATACCCTGACGACAAAGTAAACACACTGAGAGCACGTTGTCTACGTTACTGTTAGGTCAATCTAACCGATGTGTTGGTTCAGTTAATAATTCAATTTCATTTACACCCTGTGTATTCATGTCATATTATATTTCCTAACAATGATATTGCAAGATATTGATAACATTAGTCAAAGTGAAAATATACCATATTGTTATATTCCATCAAGACGTGGACTTCGTTTTGCATGCAGCAGTATAAACGCGATTAAAGTTTAATTTGGCTAACGTTAACAGGCTCTATCAATACAACTCATTGTATAAATGGTAATGGCGGTTTAAAGCAATCGCTAAATATGTTACACCCATTGATGGTGTCCTCACTCACTCACTCACTCACTCACTTACCTCCAAAAGCTGTCTATTTGAACTGATAGTACATTGGTGTGAAAAAACCAGGTTTATAAGTATACATATATTCGGTTGACTAAGGACGGGGATAATCTTTACTGGTAAAGCTTTCGCAAGTATTCACTTCCTCACACGTCACGTGCAAACGAGAACAACAAACATGAACAGAAACTATCAATACTGTTGTGCTGACATCCACATGTGCGTAAACGTACAGTCATGTAATTTGCACGGTTGCGCTTGGGTTGTTTTCTGTAAAACCTATTTGAAATCATTACAAGCAGATTTTGAAATATTTAACCTTTTTGTGATGAATAAATAACCTATTGCGATCAAAATAAATGAGTAAATATTTACTTAAATTGCACACTCAAGAAGTTCCTAAAGGTTAACCGACACGGTAGTATTGGAATGGGTGTAAGGGCGACACGCCGAACTATCACATGTCGCAGTTAAAAGATTTGTGCAGCCTATGTGTGACAAAGAGGTATGCCGTGACAGAAAAAGTAATTGCAAGATACTATTACGTGAGGCTTGTAACTTCGGTCATGCTGAAATAATGTTACAATTCCAATATTAGAAAGATCTATCAATCATTGATATTCGTTTTGATGTGATATTACCAAAAGAAAATTTGGCATTAATTGCAAGTAACTGTTCACATATCGGTAACTCACGTTTGGCGCGCTCACAGGGTGTAATACGAGGTAACTGTGACACTATAAAATACCCTATCTGCTCGGGTAGGTAAGTGTTCTAACCAGATCTATTAATTCTCATAATCCTTACAGTGAGTGTCTGACAAGGTTCTATCATTCAACATAAGCTGGTTGAAGAGGTAAGATGTTATACTACACGTTTACTCTTCTTTTCAGTTGGAAGATGTCCGTATGGACATTTGAATATTAATTCCATTTACGTATTTGATGACCAATAATCCGAATTTGTTTATTGTGGCAACGTTGACTAGTTTCAGTATATGTTTCATATTTAGAGTAATATTCCAATTGTTTGGCAAGTCGTGTTTTATTTAACATATCAGCTACAAGTTCAAGCTATGTATAAATGTACACATGTATTAATCCACATAGCACCTGGGCGAAAGGATAACAAACGAATTGAACGAATAGGTCCGTATACCTCACGTTAAACACACTGTAGACCTATTTGTCACGTTAGTAAGCTTTGATTCAAATTATTCAAGCATATTCACTGAGACAAAATGACTTATTATGAATATCCGCATACCAGTGGCATCTAGTTTATCTCTGGTCTTGTGGAAGTCTCATGCAATCTTTGATGTATTGTTCATATTCAGTAAGTTAGCAAGTAGTTTTGGTTTGTTGGTACGCTGACGCCGGACTAGATTATAGTGTACGCCAACATGCTGTAAGATTTCCCCAGAAGAATGTATTGTCCCACAGTCTGAATAGATATAATGTATATTGGACCATGCGATACTAACGCGTAACTGATATAGTCAGTCGTTTGTTTGTGGTATTAGGGATATTATGTCACTGCGGTGTACCATTGGTCATTCTCCCTGGAGACTGAATCAAACACGCAGGTCACTGCAGTATATACATTGTATGTCTTCCTTGTCAGAAGTCAAAGCTAAGCGCACATGGCAGGTACGTAACCTACTTCTCCTTCACTGTTATGTCTTCCGACTTTTATATTATCTGACTTGCCGGGGTACGGATGGCCATGTCGTCTAAATCGCTGCTATTTTGTGAGCGGAGTTTGTCCCTAGCGCACATCAGAAACCTATGATCGTAGGTTGGACTCCCGGTACGCCCCACATACGTTTCTAGGTTGGTAGCACCATACCCATGCCTGTGTGTTTCACCAAAGTGGTAAACATCTGAGACCCGCATCACTTCTGGTGTTCCTCCCACATCAAGGTGACACGCCATGATACTAAAACTGAAATACTGTAATGTTCAAAGCGGCGATAAACCCATTTCACTCACTGTCTTACTTGACGTAGAGATACACAACCAAGACATATGCAGTTTTTCATCTTGCCTTGTATGTTTCTGGCATAATAGCATGATCACATCAAAGCACTGAATAGATGAGGGGGCACGGGTGGCCCAGTCGTCTAAGGCGCCGCGATTAGCTGTGCAGAGTTGCGCCCCTTGGGCACGCCAGAAACCTATGATTGTGGGTTCGAATCCCGGTTCGCCCCGATTATGTTTCTAGGTTTGTCAGCACCATACCCGTGCTCGTGGGTTTCACCGAAGTGGTAAACGTCTATGACCTGCATCACTTCGGGCTTTCCTCCAACATTAAGCTGACACGCCGCGATATAACTGAAATACTGTTAAAAGCGGCGTTAAACCCAACTCACTCACTGAATAGATGATAAAAAGTTGTATAATCATGTAGATTATACTGATTAGGTGGTACATAATTATATTTTTCCCCGTTAAAATCATAAACCTATAAACGGTATAGTGTGCACATACAGTTTACAATGTACAAATGCGGGTGTTGTTTTGGGGGTCCAAGAAGCATGCATCATCTACTCACAGACTTCCATGTTCAGAAAATAAATTAATATGTAGATATTCATATCCAGCAGTTAATCCGCGAAGCATGTCTCGGACATAAATGCAAATGAATAAAAACTATGTTTCCGGCATTATTACATGATCATATTAAAGAACTGAATAGTTGATACAAACGTTGTATAATCATATCATGTAGATCAAGTGGAACATATGGTATATACCTTATTGTCACTGTGGCATTAACATCGGTACCTCGGTAATCATTCACACTTGGAGATCATTTACCGCTGATTACAACGGATTATCACGGAAGTCATTGTAATACGAACATAGGTCAGGTTCTGGTGTGTGTATGATAATGACACATCTTGTGGGATGTTCCAGTCTGAATCTTCACAAGCATGTACGTATACGCTTATATATAAGTCATGGGTCTTATGATTGTCCAAAATATGAGTCATTGTAGACGTCGATACGTAACTTAATGTGTCTCATTTTCTTGGTTTATATTTCTTAGGAGGGACGATATAAACGAGTGTACTATAAACGATCTGTTCATCATAAATTACGTGCAGATATTCTGCTGGAGATAATATGTGGAGAATGCGTAAAAATTCTCAATTTTCGGATATTTAAATTATTAGCAATCAATATTTCAACACTAATTCAATAAGAACATTATGCATGAAACGCTACCAACAGTGCATACTTAAGGAAACGACCTGATAATGTATGCGTTTGGCTGGATTGTAGATAGTTGTACCAAATGCTTCTCATCACATAAAGATATTTTCTGAGATTTAAAGAAACATAAATGATGCACATGCGCGTATGTAGATCTGAGCACTTCGGTATGAACATACATGTTTTTATAGCACACAGCAGCGACGATGTGCATAGCTCTCTTCGAGTAAGGTGTAGCGCTGTCAGCATATATGTATGTTACACTTGCATTGTGTCAAAAACAAAGCAAACAAAATACGTTTTTAGAAATAGTTTCATTTTTCGAAGGTTTTGAAGAAATGATAATAATACAGTAAATGTTGAATCGTACTGGTACATCAGCATAAATAAATGTTATATGTCATCACTTAGATTTTCTTATAATGGATTTTAGTAAGAAAAAGCACCATTGGTCATCTCCCTTTGATTACGACTCAACGTCTCAAGGAATTACATGTGTTGTCCGATTTCAGCACCTCGTCTTATTGTCCATATATCATTCCTAAATAGTGCGTTAGTTAAAATTTAACGTCGCCTCGGCATTGTTTCCGTCATATTACGACTCATTCATAAATAGCCGGTTAGTGTTGCCATATTTTGAAATACTGAAAGTATAACAAAGGGGTATAACTCTTATTTGAAACGTTGAACGAACGACGCTCTGCTGTTTCTACTGCTGGCTGCTACGTGCTTCTACAAAGAATTACATGTGCGTCCTCTTGGAAGAGATAAATATCGCATTTAATTGAATTTTTGATACTCTAATCGTCGATAATATCGAATAGCGTGATGTATTTTGGTTGGTTGTTGTTGAACGCCACACCAAGCAATGTTCAAGCTATATGACGGCGGTCTATAAATTAATCGACCCTGTACTTAAGAAAGAAAGCTTGTTCTACCCTCATGTAGAGATCTACCCTCGTTGTAACACACACACTCACTCACACTCACATGCGTTAAAACGTCAAATAAAGTCCTTAGTTACATTTCCTTCCGATAAAACCATAAACCTATAAATTGTATATTGTACAGATAAAGCTCTTCTCATATGAGTTAAGTTACGTGCCCATAATGCAGTGATAGGTAATGTATGCCTTCATGTAATGTGCGTGTGATATCTAATTATCACTGTGTCTCGAATCTACCTTTTTCACGGTCTAGTGACCACTCTGGGCTTTATTTCCGACACCGCTTTGCAAATTCCGGCGTTCGTCGTTGTTCAGTGTCATTGCATTCTGAAGTAGAGAATGAGCGACCCGACTATTTCATTCTCTTGTGATTTAATGGCACTCATCAGAGTGTTGAGTTAATTAACTCATGTGTTAATTGGTCGCAGCCGCCTTAATTGGCTGCTTTGTGAATGTGTTGTTTTAGCTACTCTCATTTTATTGCTGTAATACAGTTGCATAGTGGGGTATGTATGCTATGCAGGCGCGTAGTGGTATAGGGGAGATAATTCTGTTGGGTAGCTCTTCACGTCCGAGGTGCGTCAGATGTATGGAACTTCACGTGCTCGCTGGGGCCAGCCATCTTAGACGATATGCATGACTGTAACATTCCTGAATAAATATTGGAACCAACCATGACTTGTCATACAACGGATACAACACTGGCAACGAGGATCGTTCATGAATAGAGGTTACAGAATTTTTGGAACGGACACGGGTGATTATCAAAGTTATTTCGTGTGATTGAACGGCATAGTCACGAAAATACAACTAGATTGAGAAATCTATTGAGGTACGACGTCTTTGCAGTGCGTTTTGGATTGTACGTACATCGCTAATATACCTGTAGGTACGGCAATAGCTTAAAGCAAGCACACTCGGAATCATTGTACAGTAATATACTGTATTGATGAATCTGAGCGATACTATCGAAACACACCCGCCAGGACCCTCAACATTTGTTGACATTATTGTATTGACACAGCGTTGATATATATTATACTTGAAAGAGGTTATACTTGTCACAATTGGCATACCCTGACGACAAAGTAAACACACTGAAAGCACTGTTAGGTCAATCTAACCGATGGGTTGGTTCAGTTAATAATTCAATTTCGTTCACACCCTGTGTATTCATGTAATATTATATTCATGACAATGATATTGCAAGATATTGATAACAATAGGCAAAGTGAAAGTATATCATATTGTTATATTCCATGAAGACGTCAATGGACTTTATCATAATGCACTTGGACTTTGTTTTGCATGCAGCTGTACAAACGCGATTAAAGTTTAATTTGGCTAACGTTAACAGGTTCTATCAATATGACTTATTGTAAAAATGGTAATGGCGGATGGAATGCCCATAGGCAAAGTTTAAGGCATTCACTCCAGGTTAAATATATGAAACCCATTCCTTGAGTTCTCACTCACTCACTCACTCACTCACTCACTCACTCACTCGAGAACAGTAAACATGAACAGAAACTGTCAATACTGTTGTGCTAACATCTGCATGTGCGTTAACGTACATGTAATTTACACTGTTGCGCGTGGGTTGTTTTAATTAAAAACCTATTTCAAATCATTACAAGCATATTTTGAAATATTGACTGTTTAACCTTTTGTGATAGCTGAATAACCTATTGTCTTCAAATGAAGATTTACTTAAATTGCACACTCAAGAAGTTCCTAAAGGCTAACCGATACGGTAGTATTGGAATGGGTGCAAGGGCGACACGCCGAACTATTACATGACAGACAGACAGACAGACATAGTTTATTAAAGTGGCACATGGCGTGAAACAATAAGAATACATCATATTAAATTTATCATACCATCCAGCCTAGCTAGGCTTATGAGACACTATTTCTTTGTTGTTTGACTGGTTCATTTTCATCACTCTGGGGGAGACGGGTAATTAGTGAGTGATCAACCAACCGATTACTTACCGTAATTAAATCCCCTAAAAGCGTGGGCCAAATGGGAAGTAGGCCAGTGGGGTGGACACCGATTTAGCTACTCTCCTTTTTTATTACTTTTATACAGTTGCTAAGCTAATCAGCTTGTATAATTGTATATACATGTATGTCTCATGGAAAGAAGAGGAAGCTTCACACAGAGCTAACAATCATGTCACCACTCTTATATCATCATATGCATGTTATTCGGGTTTCAAAAGCAACACATATTTACAGTAGAGTTTCGAAACAACATTTCCCATGGCTAGAGCTACCTTAGAATAAAAGTTATGACCACTAAAACTCCCGGTTCGGAGAAACGTTTTCCTATTGCAATGGGACCAGAAAGCCTAACTAACCTAAAGGTGATAGGTATGTGAGTTGTCACATAACCAAGACTCGAAGATGTTCAATAACTAATATTGCCAAATGATACATCGTTTCAAGTTATTTTATATCTGTTGTTTTATAATCAGTTTAAACCATGTGTGAAAATGTGTGCCACAATAAAGTATCTTCGCCTTAAGTATTCAGCATATATGTTATCTATTAGATATAGAAATAAGAAAACGGTTCCCTTATACCTTAAGTTTAAAACCAATAGGACTGTCATAACATTTTCCTGAAGCAATCTTGGTCAAAAGAATCCAACATGGCCGCCACCAGAAGACATAGAAAATGTTAAAAGATTGTTTTCGTGTACCTGGATATGAATAAAACTTTTTGGAAGCCATGTACCCTAAACATGGCTAAAGGGTGTGACCAAACATGACCAAAGCATTCTCTTCACAATTGACTCTCACTTTGTGTGAGTTCATTGAAAGCCCATTCATCAAGCCGTATCGGAATGTGGAAGGGGGAGGTTCTCAAACGACAGATGACAGGAGCGTGTGTATGCCTAAATAACTCCATGTACTGTACTTTGTTTAATGATTTGTTTACAGGCCGCCGAGTACAGCTGTGCGGCGTCAGACAAAAAACACTTATAATGCAAATTAAGTGAATGAAGGGTGCTACCGGTAGGGCATGATATGCCTGCCCTTTTAGCGAAAACCTGGAGTCATAACTGATTTTCAGGGGTCCATTCATATAATTTTCACAGCTTTATTGTCCTTCGCGACAAAAGTAATCTGTTTCGGTGGATAATTAAAGTGCAAGTATCATAAAACATAGTAAAAGATATTTCTTACATCTTTATGTAGCCAGAATGATGTACAATGCGATAGCCGAGAAAAAGTGTGAAAACGTTATGTTAGCGTTGTTGCGGTTAATTAAAACTACGCTTTTTGTGGTCGGTATTTGTCACAACCCACACGAATTTTAAAAGCGCTAACGAGGAGACGTAGCTAATAAGCACGGTCGGCTAGGCCTGTAAGCTGATTGGATATTACCACCAGCCGGGCACAGAATATACGCAATCGTTTCATAAGTTGTTGGGAGACCCATGTCGTATATATAATACTGGTATGGATTCCGTGTTTGTCACGGGTATGGCTTGTGGGTGCGTGTAAGTAACCTTGATTTAAAGTGAATTATATAATTTTAACATCGTAAGTATTCGCATGAAAAAGACCTATGTCGTAGGCAAACTTTCCATTATTCCAGTATGGATGGCCAAACCATGCTGTTTATTGTCAAAATATGATGGTCATCTTATGTCGGTGTGATGCATATTGGGTCACCAGCTTCGAAGATACATGGTGTTTAATCCTTAACATGAATCATGCTTCATATAGATCTCACCTGGCAAATGTATTGGACTTCTTATACAGTGTACTAACAAACATGGAACGAATCTGACCAGCGGGCATTCGGTCATCAAAGTACAACATCTTAATGATGCATAAAACAAAAAATAACAATAGGGACCTGCACCAGTTTATGCTGTGGTCCCAGTGATAGTCGGTCCGTCATCTGCAAATCCATTGATTTATCGGCATACAAGTTTTGTCTACGGATATGGATATATATTGCCTTCACAGTCATCTACAAGGCATGGATCTATAGCTCTAATGTGGGCCAATACAAAATATATACGTATACGTTATATGCAGCCGCTTCTTGTTTTGGACGAAACAGGAACTTATCTTCAACCTTCAATTTGCTGCACATAAAACTGAAAGCGTTGAACATTTTCATGTATTTGCTCGTTGTTTATTCTTCCCTTCATCGAACGTATATTTCACAGGTTTGTACCTACAATTCTTACGACATATATACGGCAACTCATAACACGTTCTGTATTCGCAAAGAATGATAATGATACTCATTATAATGTCAATTGATCAAACATTTGTTTTCTCTAACTATAAGATATGATCAACTAATAACCATATCAAACAAATATCCAATAGTTATGCTTCTACGAAACCTATTTATCTAATTACCAACATGCTTACTGACGATTTTATGTGGATCATTTCATGCTTACAGCTGTTGACATGGAACTTTATCAAGTGTTTGCAGTAATCCTGTGCACACAATGTAAGTATGTTTGAACGTATTGAATCATTGGTAAATATAAGATAACACTTTAGTTCACCTAACTAAAAGGAATTAACGGTGTCGCGTTGGAGGCTTTCACATTTTCCACTCCACCCCAACCCCAACCCCCTCAACCACACCAAACCGCCATTCTCCCCGAACATATAAAATATATAATACAGAAGGACAGATTGGGAACGGTGTGTATTGGATATTATATTCTTAAGGCTGTGCATTATGAATATCAAGATTTTCTCAGATACATATACATGTATTTAATTATTATTTAATCATATTGTCCACATGCATCTTCCCGAGGCAAGAGAGCTAACTGACTTTAAAAGTCCAGTTTCCACCCTTGCCGAACTAGGCTGGAATTCCTGGGCTCGATCGTAGCGCCACCAGTGGCTATTACGAGTTATGCCCTTTCTAGGGCTCTCCTATGGACCAATCAGATTCCACCTCTCGTATCACATGCATTTGATTCAAACAAAAGGGCGGCGCCCAGTCAGGACGATCTAATCAAGATCTAAATTGTGATAAAACGGGTCTTATATCGCGAAGTGCATCAAATTACGTGAGCACCTTGATTAAAACCATGAAAAGATTTGGAAAATATCTGTTGACAACGATTTTGCGGTGCACATGTTTTGCAAATTCTGCAATCGACCGAAATCTTCATGACAGTTTACGAACCGGATTTCGAGTTCATTGCGCGATTTTGATTTGACTATGCATAGACTCGTTAGTCCAGCCAAAATCTAACTCCATAATATCTACCTAGTTCGGCAAGGGTTGAAACTGGACTTTTGTAGTCAGTTAACTCTCATGCCTCGGGAAGATGGTCCAAATGAGGCTGTTGGTGTGAATTTCACTGCGCTAGGCGCACTCCTTATGTACCACGCCCAACATTCCCATAGATATGTAGTCATTCACTGTAGTCACAGTTTCACATTAAAGAATAATTATGGTATTTTACTGTTTTGAACATTGTATGTACATATGGCTTCAACGTTTATCTATAAGATAACAACTATTTCTCCATGTGATATTATTTCGTGAACTGTAGAAACGTGCGCATTTAAGTACGTAGTTCCCTCAAAAACATGTCGTAACATGGGAATTAATTCCCGTTTTGTTTGTAACGATAGACTGACTTACATTTTGATATTAGAACACTCCAGTAGACGGCAGTTCGAGTTGCGTACTGATTACAAAATGATGTTTCACATAGGAATGACCAGAATTTCTTTGATATGTCGAAGAGTTCAGTGGCGGATTCATGTATGTCATATGAAGTATGTACTTGGAAAAACTATCAGCGTCTAATAGATTGTTTTATTCATGCTATATGTAATACGACTTTCACATTACATCTTTAAGGTATCTTCATTGTTGATAGTACAGACAATCATTGCCTGGTGTTATCGCAGTCCGGGGCATGTGAGGAATGCTATATTGGATGGTATGGAGCTTACTGTGACAAGATGTGTCAACACTGTGACACGCGTGGATGTAGCAAAACAACAGGAGTTTGTATTCAGTGTGAAACTGGCTATTACTCTACCAACTGTTCACTGACATGTCCACCTCAGTGCAGAGAGAGATATGGTGACCGTGGGCTCTGTGACCGTACAACAGGGAAGTGTCGGGAAGGCTGTAAACCCACATGGTGGGGAGATAAATGTGAACAAAAGTGTGGAAAACAGTGTAGTGGTTCAGAGTGTTTCTTTTACGATGGTTCATGTGCATCTGGATGCAAGGACGGGCTTTCCGGGTCTCATTGTGACAAAACCTGTTCAGTGGGATGTCTACATGGCAACTGCAGTCAGCTGGCGGGTGTGTGCCTTCATGGATGTAAAACTGGCTTCTATGGGCGCTCCTGTGACAGACATTGTACTGATAAATGCCATGACAGTGATTGCAGGACAGGGGTTGACGGAGACACTCCTCTCTGTACCCACGGCTGTGTACCTGGCTCGAAGCCTCCTCTCTGCGATAACCCTTGCCTAACCAACTGTTTATCCTGCACTGAAGCTGGGGTGTGTACATCGTGCAAGGCAGGGTTCACAGGAACTAGCTGTGAGAAGAAGAAATGCAACTGTCTTGGTTCCGGTTGTAGCGATGACAGAATTTGCGATGGGTGTCTTGATGGCTGGCAGGGACAGACCTGTGAGTTGGCCTGCTCTCAAAACTGTCTCAGATGTCAACAGAAGAGTGGGAACTGCACTACATGTCGCCAAGGTTTCACATATGATGGAAGAAGTCAATGTACTTCCGTGATCCCTGGTAAATGAACCTATCAATGTATCGTATATGCTGGTATCGGTAACTCAGTTGACTAATGTTTGAGAGATTAAGTTATCTTCATATTCTAGCATGTACCTATAGATGTCTATTAAATAAGTGTGGTTTTCCGCAACATAAATGCCTTTTACTTTTCGCTAACTAGGTCACATATATGATATATGTATATGGTTTTGAAGGTCAACAAGCACGTAGTTCTTTTGGAATGAAACCTATCTTCAAATGTACTTGCAGAAGATATTACTTGGTACGAACAATTGAGATCTGTTTCTTTTATGTGTTGCTCATTTTCTTACAGCAGCAACCACCAAAGCCACAACTGAAGGGCAAGAATCAAATCTTCCCGTTGTGATTATATCCATCATAGTTCCTCTCCTTGTAATTGTTGCAACTGGGTTTTGTGTCCTGTAAGTTGATTGTTATTTTCTATAATTGACTGAACATATTCCCCTATTCTTTTATGGCATAACGATTAAGTGTTTATAAATGAGTGAACATTAGATGTCTGGACATTTTATTTTAAGCCGATGGGTTCGACAAGAAATTAATACTTTCCGGGCTTTAAGCCAGTCAGAATGCAGCACAAAATTCTGTATCAATCTGCAGTGTAAAAAATCTCAAGGATACTCATAAATACTCTTAATTAATTATCCCAACAGTTAACACGATGTACAACATGCTGACAAATGTTGGTTACTGTGTCACAGTAGGTGCTGCAGATTCCGAAGATGTATCCTGCCATTATCCGAGGAACACGAAAGGGATGATAATGCACCTTAAGATGTGGTAATGTTAACCCATGTCATAAACATTTCGTTCTGACGTGTTGGTTGGTTTGTTGTTTAACGCCGCACTCAGCAATATTCCAGCTATATGACGGCGTTCTTACGTGTAATGAGTACATGTACGTACTGTCTATAATTAAAAAAAACATCATCAATTTTGATATTCGTACAAAAACTGTCGTATTCCTGGGTAGACATTACCGTGGTTCAATGGACACCCAACAGTGTCGTAGCTTTGAGGCTGAAACAATTCCTGTGCGACGTTAAATTAAACGCACAGATTGTCGAAGCAGGAACTTATAATTTAAGATCACTTTTGTTTCTAGCGATGTCCAACAACAGCAAAATCTAAATGCGAAATATGTTCATTTATTCGATTCCATTGCTCCTACGCATTAATTTTGTTTTAATTGGGAGTATATTGACTTTTTGTCTACCTATAACAAGCAGGTCCACATTAAAATGCACTGAAAACTTGATATGACAATTTATCATCAGGTTTCACCAAAATTAATGTCACGAAACTACACCGATCAATCAGTAACCATACTCACAGACACCCTTGAAGAATATATTTGTTTCATATTTTTTAGACGCCGAATTCGCCACTATCCAGGTTGAGCGAAGGCAATAGCAACGAATAGGTTGGTAAAGTATATGTTAATTATTTTCAGCTAACTCAATAAAAGGTCTTTATCTTGAGAAAATCATGAATTGTAAATACGTCAGCGTCCATCGACCAGCATTTAGAATGTACCACCAGGCTTCCATTGCTCTTGAATCCCGATCACCAGGCCAGTTAACGGGAAACGTGTTAGAAAGGATAGTCAGTGTACCCTCTCCTCAGCGTTTTCTTGAATTCAATCTGATATTTTCAATTAATTTTCTTGGATCATCAAGATGTTGCACGGGGTCCTGCGTACATGTCACAAATCTGGTGAAATTAAGCAACGTTCGTTGCGGTAACTGGATGTCTACATGTAGGTGACCGTGTCCGGCAGCTTGACTTCTGAGAGGTCCTTAGGCTCCGTTCCTGCCCCAACACACAAACACATGTGGTGTATCCTTTGGCAGCAAATAGTGTAGGCGTAAGTCTAGGGGTTTTTTAATGTGAGAATTGACTTACATTGGATTTTCTGGTTTGTTTACAGGCTGATGTTGCACGGCAGAGTACTGCTGTGCTGCGTCAGGCGACAAATACTTATTTTTGTGTGCATATTGGATGACATATTGTATGAATGACTAACATCACTGATTTTCAGTGGTACATTCATGTAATTTCCACAGCTATTTGCCCTTTACGTCATGAGGAATCTATTTTGGCAGAAAATGTAGACCGGTTATTTTCTTGCATTGACATTTCATGTTTACAACATGTAACTATTCACTAACTCGAATAATATTTCTGAGGCAAACACTGGGTTTCTTTCATACCATCCGGAAAATGTTTTCAGCATTAACTACGACCAGAGAACATCAAATTTCCCAATCTGATATAAAAGTGGAATAAACATTTTCATTTTTTTTTACTTTTGTTTATAAATATTTTAAATCCCTATTTGTTATCAAGCGCAAAATGCACGTAAACGTTACACAGGATAGTTCGAAAAATATACAAAACATGAAGTTGTATACATTAAGAGAATATGTCATGTTTATTGCTCACCTGTAAAGAGATCAACCGTTTGATGCAATACGATCCGGGGTAGAATAGGTCTTAAGCAACCCATGCTTGCCGTAAAAGGCGACTATGCATGTCGAAAGAGGCGACTAACGGGATCGGATGGTCAGGCTCGCTGACTTGGTTTGATGCATGTCATCGTATCCCAATTGAGTGGATCGATGCTCATGATGTCAATCACTGGATTGTTTGGTCCAGACTCGAATATTTACACAGACCGCCGTCATAGCTGGAATATTGCTGAGAGCGGCGTTAAACAACAAACAAACTAACAATAACAATACACCTTCATTACACATTGTGTCATATGAAGGAATTATTTTTGGAATCAGTTCGTTATTCGAATGAAGCCGTTGGTAGCACTGTGCAACTGTACTCTGCAACGTGACAATGCAAAGAGAGTATACGAAGCAAGTGGTTGGATCCAAAGCAGGGGGCGGTCGGGTAGCCCAGTGGTTAAAGCGTTCGCTCGTCACGCCGAAGACCAGGGTTCGATTCCCGACATGGGTACAATGTGTGAAGCCCATTTCTGGTGTCCCCCGCCGTGATATTGCTGGAATATTGCTAAAAGCGGCGTAAAACCATACTCACTCACTCACTCATAACAAAGCACGCGAGAGTGAAGGGGAGGGGGTCATGGAATCGCGCTAATTTTAACATGACGACGCAAGTCAGATACAGCCGACAGACCTTTGCCAGACTACGTCAGTGATACCACCAGAATGGGGACACGAGAAACAGGGCACGAAATGGTAGACAAACATATAACCACCACAGAGGGGGACCGCTTTTTGCGCAACCGCTTCCTGGCGGTAACGTCATTGGCGTTGTCGGGACTGGGATGCCGCATCAGCAGACACAGTGTCAGGACGATTATGTGCTGCTCAAATGATGGCCTACAGCCCCCACCGCAGAATGTTGTTGACTCATGAACATGGGCGAAACAGTCGTCCATCGTCTGTGTACTGTTCAGCAATGAGAGAGGTGTACAACTGGCGCTAGGATGCATCCAAGAGCTTCACCCTTTGGTGGTGTCAGGTTATGGTGCGGGATATGTGGTGAAAGGAAGACCTGTCTTGTCATCATTCGTGGAAATTTGAACGCCCAGCGTTACTGGAATGTCATTCTGCGGCCAGCTACCCTTCCCTTTCTCAGAAGGCAGCTACAAGGGATACTCTTCTAACAGGACACTGCCAAATACCACACTGCTCGAATAATCGGGGACTCAGACATCAGACATTCATCATGTTTTTGGAACAATTGAAAGTTATGACCTTAGATATGTTTGATTGCTTTTCTTTAAGTGACATGGAAATGTCTTTTGGCTTCTTGACTTCAGAAGACATTTCAAATGAAAAGTGTCCAGTAGGCTATTAGAACTTTTACACATTTGTGCATGAACGATGTTGCTTCCTACACCTTAAATTGTATAAACGTTTTGCGGCCAAATACTCTTTTTTTTTATCAGCATGTAGTTTTTGTGGTTGGTAAGGAGGGTAATTCGTTAACGTTGACAACTAAAACGTTACTATATTAATGAAAACAAATATGTGCCAAAACGTTACTGATTTGCTAAACTGTCAATGGCGAATTGCATAATGTACATACTACACATGTACTATTATATGTTAACAGGTTAAAATTGGTATTCAAGTGATGTCAAATATATATATTATTACATTATTTGTAGATTGTCAACGTGTGGATAAATATTGTTAGGCAATGATGTTACATTCTATTATTAATGATCATGTTATTGTTTCAGGTTGACTTAAGACGTGGATTTATTTCAAATGCAGAAGAGCCTTTATCATACACTTTCGCACCTCTATAAAGGCAGATTTATATACGGACGCAGCCTGGTCACGAGTGTTAAATTACCGTAACAAACATGTCAATGGACCTGCGATCAAGTATGACTTGGAGAAGAAGACTATTGTTGAAATAGGAAAGCGAGAACTGTGCAGGTTGAAACTCTAGTTCTGGTCGTGTTGCACATCAGGACGTTCGTCCAGTCCACAAAGTAGTCATTAAGACGACAGGATGACATGACACACCACAGAACCACGACACGAGTCGTAACAGGCGACCGAAGGAGGCCGCTGCCCCGACGAGACAGCCAACAGAGACCTCTTCTAATGAGGTTACTAATAGATAAGACCCTTTGGCTTCCTCTACTTCCAGTCGTGTGCTAGCATTTGCTGTTGGGTCCAATTTGAAAACATTTACTTCAAATTATTTCATAAACGCCGAATACAAAGACTTAACGGAGGATATTTTCCCTCAAAACAATATGCGTCAAGGTAATATGACACTTTTTATTTCTTGTAAGGGGCGGTCGGGCGGTCGACTTGTGGCACAATGTGTAAAGCCCATTTCTGGTGTCCCCCGCCGTGATATTGCTTGGGTTTTGCTAAAAGCGAGGTAAAACAATACTCGCTCACTCACTAAAATGATATTTTCCTCGCCATCACTTAAATATGGACTCGGGGGATCACCATTAGCTAAACTGTTTTCATTCGACCTATTCCCGTATAAACTTTTGAAATCTTTGATAAGTGTGCACAATTTGAAGCTGGTTGTATCTCGAACTATTTACTGTATATTATGAAATAGGCTCGGAGACACTATCAAGAAGACGCAAAGCTAAAAATCTATGACAACGTATGTTTAGCTTACTTGAATGACCTTTCACCACAGAGCGTATCCAGTTTTAGTCGTCATAATCATAGAAATAGAAAGAATATTAGTATTCCATAAGCTCGAACTGCAGTCCTTTGTACCATACAAGGGCATGGGTGGCCCAGTCGTCTAAGGCGCCGCGATCCGCTGTGCAGAGTTGCGTCCCTTAGGTACGCCAGAAATCTATGATTGTGGGTTCGAATCCCGGTTCACCCCGATTATGTTTCTAGGTTTGTCAGCACCATACCCGTGCTCGTGGGTTTCACCGAAAAGGTAAACGTCTGCTGAGACCTGCATCACTTCGGGCTTTCATCCCACATTAAGCTGACACGCCATGATAAAACTGGAATACTTTTAAAAGCTCACTCACTTTGTACCATACACACTTAAATTATGGAATAACAATTCTCAGCGATATCGACTTTCCTGAACATTTTCATGTTTTAAATGTAGCGTTAAACCAAAAGTAAATATACTCTGGGGAGAGAAGAGCAAATATACGTGTTTGAGACATTCCGGTAGTTCTCTCAATGCCAATTTATCAAAAGCCAATATGTCAGAAAACTTAACATGCTTGTGTGGAAATACATCACATATTTCTTGAATGTCCTAATTATTATGCTTTTACAACT